TTGAACCGGTCACTGGGGCATCTTGGCGAGGATGGACGATCAACTCCAACCGCCGAGTTTCCCCAGTTGGAATGTGGAGAACTTCAGGGAAGCGAGACTCCAAGACACGATAATCCGGGCGATAAGAAGAAGGTCGGACGGATCAAGTCCAGGCACCTCCAAACCAGCGCCAGCAGCAGCCATGTGAGGGTCGTGCATCGGAATAATACCATTCCGACGGATGAGTCGCTTCTGCCGCAAGATCACAGCCCGCTGCTCAGCGATCACCGACTGGGCGTGCCGCAAGGGTTGAGTACCGGTGGAGCTGTACAGCCGCACCGATTCCTGCAGCTGCTCGAAATGCTTGGAAGCAATGCCTTGAAGAGTGACGAACGCCGCATCCCTCTCGGAAATAGATCGGAGAAGGACTGCGATCTCGGCGTCTCGATCCAAGACTTGCTGATGATGGAGCTGGGCCTGACTCAACGCAGCGTCAACCTTGCTCTGCTCAGCTGAGCAAGTTTCGCTTCACTCAAGGCTACAGCCTTTCGCAGTGAAGCATGGAGATTAGCAGACTGCGTGGCAGCAGCCTCCAATCGGGACACCTGTTGTCGCGCCGAGGAGAGCTGAGTGGACAAGTCGACATTGCTGAGAGCAAGAGAGTCCAGTCGCCAAGTCAATGCGCGGTTCTCTTCTTGAACAGCTTGATTGTCGGTCCGGAGATCGCCAATGATCTGGGGAAAATCAAGAGCGGCGTAGTTGCCTTTCAAGATATCCAACAGCTCCCCCGCGGAAGAAGCATGCAAGATCGCTCGCCGCTGCGCGGGATCGGAAGGCTCCACGGAACGAGTGAATCCTTAGGCCATGAGCCTCGCCAAGAAGGTCAATTCTTCTCGACGCTCGTGTCCCTGCTCGTTAACTCTGGCCATGAGGGAGTCAAGACTCACTGGAGCAGCCGAGCTTGACTGACTGGTGGCGCCCGAAGTGGTGTCGCCCGGCAAGCTCGGTGGACCAGAAGGGCGCGCGCGAGAAGACTCCACCGACTCCGCGTCAGACTCATGGGAAGTTGTCAAGTCGACCAACCCAGTGTCAGGCCGGTCGCTGATTCCACGAGTGCCGACGGGTCGAGGAATCGACTCAGCTGGCGCGCCTTCACCTCGACGAGGAGTTGGAGGAGAATGGTGGCGCCGCGAGTTGTGCTGGAGTAACATGCGAGGAGTAAGGAGCTACCAAGTGAGTGACAGCGGAAGCAACAAACGTACCGAAGAAGGTGGTGGAGAGCCGCGAAACGTCATCAGCCGAGTACGGACCAACGGTGGCAGAACCAAATGAAGGATTAAGACACTCACCAGCTCGGCTCGTATCATAACCGGAGCAGTTGTGGTGTAGGGATTTCCAGATTCGACCATGCGCCAACCTACTTTAGATCAAGAATCGGCTCGGTCTGATAACCCAGAGCTTAGGAGCAAAGGATCACGGTAAGTAATTGGCGATCTGTCCGGATGATGCTATCCGGATAACCGATGAGCTCAACGGTCGCCTGAACCCAGCTGAAGGGTCGGTAGAGATTCGAAACGACTACATTTCACTAGATATTTGTAAAAGAAGCATAGGATTAAATAGGGGGAGCCGAAAAGGCTCCCAGAAGATAACAGAGCAGAATTTTCCTAGTCCAAGACACGTGTACACTTTTCCGGTAAGTCCCTGCATAGGGCTGGATTATGCCTGCCGTCAATACTCGAGAGGCATAGCTTGTAGGGTATTGACTGGTAGCGCCAAGAGATTAGGTCGGTCCGGGTAGGACAAAGTCTCGCTACGCGCGAAAGAAAGTCCCGCCTACTCAGCGGGCCGGTACGTTGGATAGCCCGGGTGCCGTAAAACTTCTAGCTGAGCCTCTGCGCTCGGTGACCTGTAAAGCGCTCGCGCGCCGTCGTCCATCCTTTGGTGGAGGGCACAGGGTTGTGAGCGAGCTCAGCCGAGCCAAACTCGGCGGAGCCTCGGAAGTGATCTGACTTGGTTAGTCGGAACCGAGTGGAAGCGAGCCACTCGTCTGTCCCGGAAGGGCCGGGCCGCGAGGGGACCACCCTCTGCGCAGGCCATACAACCGCCAAACTAACTCGGCGATTCGCTGTGGTATGTGTAAGGAATCCACATCTGACGGTATTTGTGTTCTACTACACCACAGTTTGCAGATGACTCCGAAAGCGATGAAGTTGCTACGAGTGGCCAAGAAGACGAAGAAGACAAGTACGAAGCGGTAGTTCAAGGTGATTTGTTGTGATACCTTCAAGGTGATTTGTTGTGATACCAGCATTGAAGGTATCCTACGTTATTTTGGCTCCCATGCGTGGTGGTTCAAACCATTGCGAAGGTCAAAACACACGGCACGTGGGAGCATCGGCTAGTACGACATGCATGTGACCTAAATGAAGCTCATTATGCCCTGCTTCATTTGCTGCTGTACGTCGTAGATCTACCCACTGCTAAGTCACCATCTTCGTAATCACTGGTGCTGGAGATGCTTGACTTCATGCTGATGTCGCTGCTCGATTGATCAATCTCGTCGCTGCTTTCCTTATTATCTTGATTACAATCCATTGGATTGCTTGCTCCTCATGCTCCCTCCACATTTCCTTGTCATCCACGTTCGCCAAGAAGTGCCATTTCAAAAATCAAAAGCAATATGTTCATCATTGCTGAAATCATCTGAGGCATCAATTCCAGCGTCGCCATCCTCCTCGAAATCCGTAGCGAGGTCAGATTCGTCAAATTTTCTGATGGAATTGTGAACCAGAGCACATGCAACTATCACAGCTTTGACATTCCTGAGTTCGTAGTCCATACAGGATCAGAGCACTCAAAATCGACGTTTGAGCAATCCAATCACTCGCTCCACAACGTGTGTGCCTTTGCATGACGCAGGTTGCAGAGTTATTTGCCATTGTGTGGCCGCCCAGAAGAAATAGCCCATTCCTTCAAATGGATCGAACTCCACGATATGGTGTTAGAACTTGAGGACTCAATGCAAATCCAGCATCCGCGAGCACGTAAAAGTTTTCAGGAAGCATGTCCAGAAATCTTCTCCACTGCAATGCCATCGAGTCCTGCGCACTTCCTTCAGCACCAGGGTAAATAAAACAAACGTTCATGCTCCAGTCATAGGCGAAAAGCACGTTGGTAAATACAAACCCTTTATGATTGCGGTAACGCTTGATGTCCTCACTGGGAACGACGATGCTGAAGTGTGTACCATCAATGGCGCATAAGGCCTGGTCAAAATACGGATGAGCCGCCTTAAACGAGCTCGGAACCGTTGATGGCATAGCGACTAGATCCTACAAGCTCGTACAATTGCGTAAACGCCGTGCACACGATACTTGCGGACAGTCGAGTACGCCAGGTCAAAGAGGACTTCTTGGCTACGACACGTCGCTGCTGATCCTATCGATTCAGCGCTACGGCTAACACTTCGCGTGGGTATCGAAGTGAGCTGCGAATGTGCGGCTTACAGGTCTTGTACAGCTCATCAAATGCTTCAGCATCCATGCGAGAATGGTCCCGGAAGAGGCTTCAGTTCAGTGAGCTGTGAATTGCGCGAAAGAAGCGCTCTCCAGTGAGCCCAAGCAGTCGTACAGCATTGTCATGTTCCTACCCCCGCTATTGGCGCTTCGTCAACCCCAAGCGAATCACTGCAATCGCCAACAGCAGCAGCATCATGGCCGTTAGAAGCAGATTCTCGGTGTGTTTGCTCGAGTTATATCAACTCCGAAAATTTTCGTAAAATGAGATTTTATGTGAACACGACGCAAGTCGAAACAGAATTCTGAGAGCTATCCATAATATGAAGTTGCTTCGGCCTTCCAATACAAATCTCGATTTTGGCGTAATGCCGGCGCGAACGCGGCCTGTGAATGTTTTGGGGGCTCCGATAGGTTTTATAGGAGGAAGTTTCAAAAAGATACGTAAATTCCCGAGACCTTCTTGCACGGAATTGGTGTTAAAAGTAAAACATAAAATTTCGGTTGAAATGCCATATTCTAAGGTTTGATCGATTTACTTTAAAAAAAATTAAATTCAAAAGTGACTCATTTTCCGCATTGATATTTTCATCAAACCTCATGGCGGAGAGTCGACGGGCAGCGCTAGAGCGATGGCGTGAAGACAAGCGGCACCTGAAGCAACAGCAGCAGACACAGGATGCCGCTAAGATTGCGCGTCCCGCTCGTCGTTTGCTCTCAAAAAGGTAAAAATCCCGCAGAAGCTTTCTTTAAGTGTGACAATAACGCCATCTTACAAACCTCATCACTCTTTTTCCCGACATAGAGCCACACAGGGAGCCCCAGTACGCGCGCGTGCTGCACCAAAGCGGCCAGAAATGCAGAAACCATCAGCGCCACCTGTAGCACGCCGAGTATCGCGTGAGCCTGTGCCATTAGAGCCAATCGACGAGCTGGACAGGAGTCAGACGCTGCTATACAAGACACCAGCTAAAACCAGCAGCGTCAAAGGGATTGAAATGAACAATACAGCTATGGACAAAATCTTGGGCACCGCTAATGTGTCTGCTAGCAAGAAAAAACGGAGGAGACGAAGTTATATTTCCCCAAGCTCCGATGCGCCGTCGCTGGCTGGTGGAGCGCAGCGAGTGCTGACCCCCCAACGGCTACTCCCAACTATGAATGATGATGGTGGAATGGACGGAGATACTGACGGTCCCACACCCGAGATTCTATCGGGACCACGACGTGTTAGTGTGCTAGCACAACGGAGAAAGAGCGACGAAAGTGCACGATCGGCGACGCCATACAAAGAAGAGAACGTGAAGGACGAATCTGCTTCTTCAAGAGAGACCATATCGATCGGCAGTATAAGTGCGTCTCTGCGTGAGCGACACACTATTTCCAGTGACACAAAGAGCGACGTGAGTCCAAGGTCACACAAATCCTTGACGGTCCATGCGCTACGAGTTAAAGACGAGGTCCAACCACTTCCGCTTGTAGACGAGAAGTCTACTAACGACGATGCAAATATCAAGTTGGAGAGCTCACGGACCGACCGCAAACTGCTTTTTCCCGAACGAGTTCTGGTGGATCCAACTCATCAAAAACCAACTAGGATCAGCCTTGAAGCTCCGACGTCTCGAAAAATCCTATCCAGCCGGCGCTCACTTGACGATTCAAAGCCGACTCAATCTTTCAGTGAGCGACTAGCAAGAAATTCAAAATGGAAAATGGACGACTTTTTGGTGACGAAAAATCTGGGTCAAGGCAAGTTCGGCAACGTGTATCTTGCAAAGGAGAAATGCTCTAACCTTACTGTCGCACTCAAGGTAATTATGGCAGCTTATGTCTTCCAGAACCATTGCTAACGCGAGTTTTTATGCGCAGGTTTTATTCAAGTCACCGCTGACGCGTGATGGTGGCGTCAGTAACTTAAAACGGGAGGTGGAAATTCAAGTGCGGCTTCGTCACCCGAATGTGCTGCGCATGCATGGCTACTTTTATGACGACTCGTGCGTTTATCTGGTTCTCGAATACGCGCCATTCGGAGAGCTATACAAAGAGTTGGCCAAAGAAAAACACTTCTCCGACGCGGTGGCTGCGCATTATGTATCCCAAGTTGTCGAAGCTCTGAAGTACTGTCACAGCTGCAATGTGATCCATCGCGACATTAAGGTAAGATTCATCATTATGGCAATGTCATTTCGTTGTGTAATATTGGTTTTTGCAGCCTGAAAATCTTCTGATAGGGCACAACAAAACCATCAAGCTAGCTGATTTTGGGTGGTCGGTACATGCTCCAACGCCGAACAATGTTCGCAAGACATTCTGTGGAACTCCGGATTATCTGAGCCCCGAAATGGTTATGGGAGAGTCTTATGACTATCGAACAGACTCGTGGAGCCTTGGAGTGTTGACGTATGAGCTGCTAGTCGGTTCGACACCGTTCTACTGCGAAAACCAAATGGAAATGTACAAGCGAATCGAACTCGCCGACTATCACTTCCCATCGACCCCGGCAGTGTCGGAGACTGCCAAGAGTTTCATTGCTGGACTGCTCCAGCGGAAACCAAGCGACCGATTGAGCTTAGAAGATGCAGTCAAACATCCATGGATTCAGAATCATTATTCGAAGTAACTTTTGGGAGCCCATACGACGGAACTACTGACACTATCGAAGCTTTTCTCGAGTGGCAAATTCCGACAACATAATCATACGAGACGGTATTTATCGTTCATGCAAACGACCAACGCATCATATTGCAGCTACATAGTAGTACAAGGCAAGGCATTAGACGCAAGGATGGAGGCATGTTCATCAACAAAAACTTACATTCGTCAGTATTTCCGTGATCTGGTCGACTGGCAGAGAAGGAAAAGTAAATCGCAGGTCTACTATCGAGCATCCGACATCTTGCTTTGCCTTTAGTTGCTGAAGGACTAGCGCTGCGGAGGTAACAGACCAGTCAAACGTTTGACGACGCACTGAAATACCGAAGCGCACAACTTACCACTCCATTCTTCTTGAGACTTGGGTCCAGGTGCGCTTACGGCCAGTTGAAAGACTATTAGGCCATAGTGTTCTTCTTCCTCGACACTAAAGAATTGGCGATAATGGCGCTCCGCAGCGGCTGCCGCGTTGAAAGTCTCAGCGCCAACAAAGGAGCTTTGTGGCAATAGTGCACTCACATTTTCAGCTTCTAGAACAGATTGCAGACTCGAGTATTTGCGAATCGATGCAACGGTCGTCAAGGTTTTGCCGTTGATCGTGATGCGATCGTTCACGTGGATGATCGAGTAAGGAGCGTCGTTCAATCTAGGGCCACGAAACATGAGTACTAATGACAAGGCTCCTCTGGGTTACTTAAAGTATGCACGTACCGAATCTCAAGCGACTTTGATCCTTGCTCGATTAGCTGGTGGTCTCTCTCTGGGAGTGCAAACTGATAGTCCGGAGGAGGTATGGCAGCATCTAGACCAGGAACACCCACACGAAGCTGTTCCCAGGGCTTCTCGATTAAAGTCGTAAAATTGCCAGACACACTGGCTTGACGACCGTTTTCATGTGGTTGCACAGCGGTGTAGAAAGCTGACACCGCGTGTCTATCCGTAACGTCGTCGCTTATCGGTGGAAATGCCAGCAGCTCAAGTTGAGTTGGCGGTGAAGTATGTCGAATAGCATAGTCACTTTTGTACCTTGCACGACCGAAACGAGCAATAATACAGGGTTAATAGTTCAAAACGCAGCTTCTCACGTGAGATATCTGGACATGACTTACAAGTGCATGACTTCGAGCATCCTCAGCGTCTCAACATTGCGGTCGTGAACTTCATGAACACTACAACAAAATTTCCATCAGCTAAGACCGATGCATCACCTTAGTGCCAGGTAACTCACTGCACTGCATTCATCCACCGCCGACTACTTGTCAAATCGGACGATGGCTGCGGCTCGTCGATACTTCCCACACACTCCACCTACACAATAAAATACCGCGTAAGGACCAACTCATTGCTCGCTTGGTTGTATAACATCGCACCAATGCCCCTAGTTGCAGTGCGTCCTGGTTAGACCCTGGCACCAGCCTCACATCCAACAACCCCGTTCCGTCATCTGCTCTTGACAATCTTTACTTAGGTTTTATTAGCGAAAAGCAAAACTTTTGCTTTTTCACGAACCAAGCTGGATGTGCGAGTCGTTCCGTTTAACCAGTACCCCCAACACTTGAGCGCGATTAAAACACGCATGGCCCACACGATAGCTCCGCGTCTGTTCGTCTAGCGTCACCGCCGAGCTGTGGAGCTGCACTATGCACAATCGAAGTGCACATGTCGACTCCATTAATAAGAAATGACAAGTGCAAAGAACAATTTCAACTTTAACTTCAATAAATTTTGCATTTGGAGTATAGAAATGTTTCTACTTTCTCCATAATTTCGAAGAAGTTAAATGATGATTATCAAATTTTTGGTGTCGTGAAGTTGGATAGAGGGCCAACTCGACCATCGGTCCCCCAGCTTGCTACGCCGGCCACACCTACAAAGTAAGTCATATTCGGCTTCAAATTGGCGACAACTGCGAAGGTGTCTACACCACGGTAGACCTCTACACGATTAAGTCGAAGTGAATACGCCTGGACAGATTCAAGCGGATCCCACACGACTCTGGCTTCTGACGCAGTCACGTTTGTTGAGTTAGGAGCATTTTCTGGAACTGTGATTGTCAGATGCGTGGCTGTGTTGGACAAACTCAATTAGTTACAATAGCATTCTCTAATGCCTGCAAGGACTCATTCGCGTTACGTACGTATAGTGTCGAGGTAGGAGTGCCAACCCCACCTTGCATAGCCCTGTATGAAGAGCCCGAGTGCTGCAGCTTGAGAAAAGGCTGCAGCAGGTGTAGGAAAAGAGGTAACGGGGATAATCAGAGCTCCCAGCATTGTGTGATGAAGGTGGAATGATGTTGAAGGGAACAGTGCCCACGACACGAGTACGCATGCAAGTACAGCCATGTACATCGCAACAAACGCCCTCCACTTCCCGCCGAGATAAATACTTCTAAAGAGTTGGGAAGCCAAGAACAGCGCTCCAATTCCTACCAGAGTGAACACTACGTATGTTCCAACGTTGGCGTGTAGTTCCTCGTAGCCGCCGAGATCGACATTAAGCCACGGAATGAATCCGATGAGGTTCATGTTGATCATCACGTGATAAGGAGCCACGTAACAGAGCGTCCACATAATAAATTTCCGCTTCAGCGTTAGCGATTGCCAGCCACTTAGCGTGTCTGATGCTGCTATTCGATATACCAAAGTACTTGCAGCCAGTAGAAGAATCACCTCGCCGAAAGCATTTACAGAAATACCCCTGTAATCCTGGCTTGAAGGTTGGCCAACTAGTCGTGTGTAGAAGAATCCATAGGTGACCAACAAGTAAAACATGACGTCAGGTCTCGCGCGAGGCAGCAAACCAAAGCCTGCCGTGGCAATAAAGCCCACACTGAGAATCCACCACGAAAGATCACTGCAGTACGAGCTGGATGCTTCTTTGAACATGATCGTTTTAGGAAACCATGACAGAAATTCCTTCGTGGTCACCCCATTCGATGTGGATGAGTAGAATGCATCAGCAGCACCTACACGGACATGTTAATTAAGGATCGTCAAACCAGTTAAACAATTCTACGTACCGGCAAAACGATAAAAAGCACACCCACCGTTGGGACCAATAACACCCGTGTGGGCGGCAGCCCGACAGATTCTGGAATCAGCTCTGCATTAATACAAAACAAACGTAAGGTGGGTGTTATGACAGCGCTTACAATTTCAAGCTTACCTGTACGGACCTGACCCAAACACTGCCATCGATGATGATTGTTCTACAGTACAAGCATAAACCGTGAGTCAGGGCTCCGCCTCGAACGATGAAGAAGGTAAGACAAACCTAAAGTGCAGCGTGTGGGGCATCTGAATGCCGTCCACTCGGATGCAAACGGGCGGCAGTCGACTCCCCACAAGCCGCACGATGTTCCAAACCCCCACGAGCGACAGCTCAGAAAGTCCGGTTGGCTTCCATCGTTCATGGTTGCCGCAAAGAAACTCAAGTAAACCAGAAGTAGAAGCAGAGCCAATGAAACTGAGAAGTAGAGCAGCACGATGCAGTTCTTCGAGAGCCACAGAACAACGGCATGTTTCAGTGCAATGGGTGGCACATTTTGCACACTTGCAGCGCCATCTTCCAGCGAATCAGCTCCGACAGAATCTTTCTTGTCCGAGTGCGAACGTCTTCGCCAGTTTCCCGAGTTGAAAGGGAACGGACGGACACCAGGCTCACGACTCATTGCTGCTACGGTTAAATGGAGAACGAACCGTGCTACAAGTTGAACAGCAGACCCTAGAGCAGTATCTAAAAAAAGTGTAAGAACCGGTAAGTGTTCAGCACTCTGCACTTCAAGACAGGATCTCATAAGTGGGTTAATTTGAGCTTTAAGGTGACTCAATTCACTAGTTCAGCACGGCTTCCAGCAGTGCCTGTGTGGCTTCCGCAGCTTCACGTACATCCAGGTCGGCTTCCGTTTCGGCAAGAGCTAGAGGGCGGACAATCTCTAGCGTGCTTTCCGTGGTTGGCGGGTCGTTCAGTCTCGGTACAATCAGACCAAGCGTACGCAGTGAGCGGAAGCGGAGGTTCGCTGTCTGGGACGTACACTGCTCCAGCACCATCTCGATGACGTCTCTTAATTTATCCATCTTCTGCAACTCTGGAGCCAGGAGCTCCACCGCCAGCAATCCCGTAAGCCGTCCATGGAAGGTGGAGTGAAGACACACGGACACCCGAGGAACGCACTTTTCAACCACCCACTCACTACCTAACGACTTCCCAAGAGAAGAAAGCTTTTCGCACACCACAGCACGAACTTCATTGACTGCGTCACCCAAGAGTTCCAAGCAGGCATCAGCGAAGTCAGCAGGCAGTGTAGCACCATCTTCACGCTCGGCCCAGGCAGCCACGCAATGAACAAACTTTACACGGACTCGCCATTGCACGGAGGTACGTAGCGCTTGGATGGCTGGGAAGATCATAGCGGTCACAGTATCTGCTGAGCTGTCGCAGTAACGCGCCATCTCTTCCAAAAGCGACGCGCGCACAGTTGCGTCTTGACTTTCATCCAAAAACTGCGTGAAGATCGGGACCAACTCATCGTAGTAATTGCTACCGATGAACTGCAACGAGCGACCAACTGATTGCGCCAAATACAGTCTTACAGCCACAGAAACGTCGGTTGAAAGCGTGTACGTTGCCGGCAATACACTGCGTACAAATTTGACTTGAGCAGCAGTCACAAACTCGGAGCTCTCGCCGTTCGCATTATGAACTTCTTCTGTAGCAGAGTCGTCCGGTTTAGACGCAGCCGTTTGCTGCACAGCAATATCTCGAAGCGCCTCTCCAAGAAGAAAAGAACCCTCTGCACACGCTCGACGCACTTCCACAGTCGGATCACCAACCATCGACACGAAATGATCGACAAAAATGTCTGTGTACTCGGCCCCAAACGCTCGACAAAACGCAGGCAAGGTCCGCGCAGTCTCTAGACGCACTTGCCACGAAGAGTCTGACGTGTAGGTGTTCACCATCGGCACCATCTGACAATAAAGCAGACGTAATGTCTGCTCCGCCTCCTTCTGCGACTTGTTCTGGTCTTCAAGAAGTAGACGACGCAAGGTGGTGGCTAGTGTGATGCAGCCTTTCACTGCGAAAATACGAACAATGTCATGACTATCCGCCGTCGATTTCTCTAACAGTTGGACTGTCCACGCAGCAACAGAAGATCCACCTGCTGCTGCCAAGTCACCAATAACCGAAGTCACGGCGCGACGCACCAGCGGATTATCATCGTTGCACATACGGTCGAGCATTCCACGGAGTTGAACACGTACATCGCCACCAACGTGTGGGTAAACCATAGACAGTAGCGCGACAGGGACAATTCTTGCCGTGGGGCTTGAACTAATACTGAGCCGTGCAAACATCGGGACCAACAGCTTAATCACGTCCACATCCGTTAACGAAAGGATCAGCATCTTCAGCGCGTTCACCATGACGTCCCATGTTGCATGATTTTCGATAATCGATAAGCTCTCGAGTACGTGAAGTACAACTGCAAGCAACAACTCATAACGGTGGCGCTTGGCAACTCGTTCACCATTAGTAGACTCTGGCTCCTTTGCATCCACAAAATGTTGCATCTTTGCTGTGCGTACTGCAAGCCATCCCAGGAATTGAATCGTCCGAATAACAGTGCTTTCACCCTTATCATCATAGTCGTGGATAGAGGCAAACAGGTTCAGCAGGAATCTGCGTTCGGCACACATTTCACCCACACGCTCCTCTTCCATCGTCTCAATATCCTGTAGTAAAGCAGCGTCCCACGTTTCGTTGTCCGGAAGTAATCTATCCAACGGGTTCGGGTACTGTGGATCCTTCGTCGGCGGGTGATACTCTTCGGTACTGAGGTATTGGAAAAGAGCCTTGGTCACAATCTTCGGGAAAGCCAGTACACCCTGATGAATCTTCATCTGGAAGACACGGAAAGACATTCGATCCTGCTCGGGGATGGGGCGTTCCGTTTTCTGCTGACGAATGTTCATTGACAGTTGTCTGCGGAGTGCCTTGTAGTCATCAGGAGGAACAATCACAAGCTCCAGCTGCAACGGCCTCGTAGCGGTCTCGATTAACCGCAGTGTCTCTTTGTGCGTGAGGTGCGTAACTCGTTGGCTATTCAGACCAACGAGCCAGCTCGAGCGCTTTACATTTGCACGCTCCGCAGCACCTCCAGACTTGATATCCACGACAATCGTCCGCTCTAGGATGTTCTCGACCGTCAGACCAAGTGGTCCTGCAGGAATAGACGCAGGATAGGGCGTGTTGCCACCCATTACAGACGACACGGGCTGTTCTGGATCCCAATCGCATCCAATAATTCCACGGAAGTCACTTACAATGCGGTCCTCGGTCAGGAACGTGTTCACAGCGCGATCCAAACTAAATTCTGAATTGAGAAGCAGGTCCACCAGTACCTTAAATTCCACTGCAGATGGTCCAGCCACAGCATCCTCCATGGACTCCACAGCCTGACACAGGACTTGAAGGCCGTATTTTGGATCCACAGGGCCCTTTGCAACAACATTATCATCCACTGACGCCATCACAACGTCGCCGTCACTGTCTCGTGGGGGTGATTTTACCACAGAAGCGGTCACACCGTTAGACACTGGTGTAGTGTGCTGAGGAGGGTGCAGCTCTGATGCACGACGAAATCGAAGCGCAGACGGGACAAGAACACGCTAGAAAATGCATTAAAAAATAAAAAAAACGCCGTTAATCAAGGAAAACACTGCGTTACAGTATGCCAGATATGCAGTAATGGCATCACCCACCTCTTTGGAAAGCTGCTGTACAACTGCAGTACAATTCTCTTCGTTCAGCACCGTTTCTCGGAATGAAAGCAGCACGTCCGATTTCTGGATACCAGCAAGAGCCGCTGGGCCGCCAGGTTGCACTTGTTGCACAACAGCTCGTCCAAACACGTTGCCAATCTGCCAGCGGAAGTTACTGCTCGACATGACGACTTCGTATGTTCCAGGACCATACAACAGCTCTTCTTCCGTCTGTGTCTTGTCCATTGGAGCAGCAACTTTTGTCTCCTCAATGAATTTCGAACTATCCTTAGCGACAGGTGACGATAGTGGGGTCAGCTGATGTGATTTAATGGATGTCAATGCTGATGGAGACAACGGCATCGCCGCGGAAGATTGAGAAGGTGTTTGCGGGGTTTTTACAGCACCCGAAGGCGGCGCGACTGTTCTGATAGGACCAGAAGACGGCGATGGGGGCTCTATCCCGTTCTCACTGTTGACAGGCGTCTTCTTGCCAGCAGCTTCGTCCTCTTCGTCGCTTCCTTCGTCAAATTCAGCATCTGCTCCGTTCTCCGAGAAATAGATCTCCACAGCTTTATTCAGATCGTTGTTGGTGCGCCTGAGCAGACTCAGAATGACATCGCGCTTAACTTCCCCGCCCAACAGTCCACTGAGCTCTTCAGCCTTGGGTGTCCACTCAGCAGGAGCGTCGCCGTCGATGGACAGCGCCTTGCGAGGAAGTGCAGACGTTTCGGCCCATGACATGTCTTCTCCGTCCTCTTCGTCAGAGCCTTCCACGTCGTTAACCTTGAATTCCGCACCATTAGCCGCCTCTGATTGAAAGAAGAGGTCCACGGCCTTGTTAGGGTCGTTTCCAGCCTGCCCCAGAAACTCCAAAATACGCTCTCGCGAAACGTCACGGGGCCCGATGATAGCGCGGATCACGTCCACCAACGCGTCCTGCTGCTCCATGGTGCCCGATGGGTATTACCAATGCTGTAAGAGTCGGCGAGCCGTTGCAAGGTCCGATCCCGGGATAAAGTGAGGGCGAAAGGCGGCACTGTTCTTTTCGAGAAGAGCGCTGTCCCGACGTACGGACAGAGTGCAAGTGAGAAATGGGGAGAGGAAGAGCTCTCAGGCCAAGAGAGCTCAGAGCTACTTGCCCGCCGGCCTTTTTCTTTGTTTTTCAAAGCCAAAGGGGGAAATTCCACCTCTACCCTGTGTGGTACACGCCGAAAAGCCTGAGATTTGATAGACCGGTACGACCGGTAGATCTTTAACCATCAGAAACGAAAATGGCGGGAAGCTTGGAGACAGTGTTGGTGCGTGCCTGTATGCGCTTGTAAGGCTGAGAATGCATGCATCTAAGGGCCTAGATACTTTACTGTGCTACTGTACAGGGCACAGACCTGCGCAGCCAGGTGCAAAGCGCGAAGATCTTGGTGGTAGGCGCCGGTGGAATCGGCTGTGAGCTGCTCAAGAACCTAGTGCTCAGCGGCTTCGTGGATATCGAGCTTATCGACCTGGACACCATCGACGTATCGAACCTGAACCGACAGTTTCTGTTCCGCGTGCACCACGTGGGCCAGTCTAAGGCGCTGGTGGCGAAAGAAATTGCGACGAGCTTTAACCCGCGCGCCAAAATTAAGGCGCATCATGGTAACATCAAGAGCAGCCAGTTTGGTCTCGAGTATTTCCAGCAGTTTGCCCTTGTGCTCAACGCGCTGGACAATGTGGACGCGCGTAAGCACGTGAATCGTCTGTGTCTGGCCACCAATACACCGCTCATCGAGAGCGGCACTACGGGCTATCTGGGTCAAGTGTTCGTTATTAAGAAAAGTGAGACTGCGTGTTACGAGTGCACACCCAAGGTCACACAGAAGCAGTATCCGATCTGTACCATCCGTAGTACACCCGAGAAGATGGTGCATTGCATCGTGTGGGCCAAGGAGTGTTACAAGCTGCTCTTCGGCAAGACGGAAGACTCTATGCTGTGGGAGGACCCGACCAACGAGGACAAGTCGGCCTTCATGGATCTCTGCATGCGCGGTCCGGACATGAACTTGGACGACGTCACTAAGCTTCAAGAATATGCGTGCGGTGTCTTCCGAGGACTGTTCGACTTTGAGATCAAGAAGAGGCTTGAGATGAAGACGTACAAGGCGGCAGCCAAGCGCCCACAGCCGCTGGTGTTGGAAGAAATCATTGGCTCGGACATTGTGAAGGCTATTAATCTTAACGACGAGGCTGTTATGAAGCAGACTGACAATGGGAAGGTCTGGAACGACCGCGACGTGTGGAGCGTCTCGGAGTGCGTGACGCGCTTTGTGTCGTGTATTGTCCGTATCCTGAGCAATGAGCAGTCACGCGCGAACCTTGGCAGCTATGAATTCGACAAGGATGACGCCACTGCGATGGAGTTCGTGACTGCTGCTGCAAACTTGCGTGCATCTGTGTTCTCCATTGCAATGGAGTCGCTTTACAGCTGCAAAGGTATTGCCGGTAACATCATCCCAGCTATCGCCACCACGAATGCTATCGTGGCAGGTTTCCAGGTACTGGAGGCGTTCCGTATTCTGCAGGCAGCGAAGCCCGTGAAAGAAGCATGCAAGTACACGCTCTGCAACCGCTCGTGGAATGACCGTGGCGTGCTTCTTCAGCCTAGTAATCTTGAGAAGCCCAACCCTCAGTGCTACGTGTGCTCCAAGCACACAGTGGAGCTCGCTGTGGATACCAACTGCATGTTGCTGCGTGACTTGGTAGATAAAGTACTGAAGAAGAAGCTGGGTGTGAATGAGCCCACAATTTCGATCGGTGCTAACACAATCTACGAAGAAGGTGAAGACGCCGAAATGAGTCTGGCTGTCAACTTGGAGAAGAAGCTTGTAGATCTCCCTGGCAAGGGGATCCGTCATGATACCACCGTATCTGTCGAGGACTTCTCGCAAGATTTCCGCTGCAATATCCGCGTGTTGCATCGTGACGAAGAAGAATTTGGCGAGGATGCAGCGGAGCTGTTCGCGCTAGGAGGAGACATCGCCGAGCTAGCTGCGGATCTGAAGGCGGAGGTGGCCAAGCAAGCGGCGCTGAAAGAAGCTGCTGCTGATGGCAAAGAGGACGACAGTGACGATGATGTCGAGGTGCTGGAGCCTGTGGATGCCCCCGTACACAAGCGCAGTAGAGATGCAACTGAAGACGCCGCCACTTCAAGCAAGAAGGTCAAGTCGGACGTGGTGGACCTGCTCTAGATTCGTACTTAAGTGATAATGTAAACCTCACTTTGTGGAAGTATTGTGTCTTTTGACTTGACTAAAGTATTGACTACTATAGAAATTCGGTCCCCTCCCACGATCAAAAGGGACCTACCGTGACCGCAACGGCTTGACGGTGCTTGACCGAGCGCTGAGCGGCACTACGTGCAGATCGAACTCAGCCACGCAAAGAGAACACACGTAGCAGCACTGGACGAAATTTCGGGCGGTATGGGCAGCGCGCCGAGTCAGAAAGACGCCACCAGTCCCGACATGGAAGCCGAGGTGGCGGCTGAAGCGCCGGAGTCTCAGAAATCGAATCAGATGCGGAAAGACCATCATTCTGACGACAATGTATGTGTGTGTGACGGTGCTACTCAAAGCAAAAAGCGACGAAGAACGCAGAGTGGTGAAATAGCGCGGGATCCGCAGGTGAACGGAGGTGGTGATGCCTCTGATGAGCAGACTCAGGAGAGGGAAGAGAAAGCTCAGGCTCCAAAGGAAAATGGACGTGTGGAAGACGAAAATGAGACCGAGAAGGAGCAGGTAGAAACCAATGCTATAGCGAATGGGATAAAGGAACCAGAGGAGCAACAGAAAGAGACAACAGAGGCAGTGCAGGCTAATGGCGAATGTTCTGGGGAGCAGCAGAAGAAGCATGAAAGTGATGCGGCATTAACAAGCGATGCAGCGTCCGTGTCTGTACCAGTATCGGTATCAGTACCAGTACTTGAATCAGTGCTCTCTCCAGCACTCCATACTGGTATTGATATGGTGTTCCCGGAGGATGAAGTGCCCATTGAGCTTTGTCCGTTTTCAAGTGATGGGAGCGCTGAGGAGACGTTGCCCGAGTCTCCGCCTCGCAGACAAAAGAAAACAGTAGAAGCAGAATCCAAGACTGAAACAATCACTCCTACTACACCAGCTGCAACACCAGCAGAAGCATCTTTGACACCTGCGTCGGTAACAGCAGATGAATCAGCAACGACAAGCTCGCTAAATCGAACCGTGGGGAGAAGGAAGCGCAGGAAGAAATTGAGTTATTCAGCTTCACGAAGCAAGTTAGCAACCAAGTCGAGGCAGGAGCAAGACAGTGTCCCCGCTTCACCTGCATTAGAGGACAAAATCAGCATTTCAGTGAACGGACACGCAGGTGAGAATGGAGTCCAGACTGACACCGGCGAGAATGCACCTCCATCACCGGTATATCCTGATGCAGACGCTTCACACCTGTACCCGTCGACACCCGAAGGAGAACCCTGGCATTGGGAAGATGTTGATCCGTACTTTGACCCTCTAGCACAGGGCGACCTGGATAATCTGGCTCGCTGGCGCAAGGAAAACGCTGATTTCATTGCGGCGAACGCAAGAGCATGTCGCGACATGCCAGGGATGGAGACGAAGCGTGCAGTATTAGAGTCTATGCTCGCAGATGCTTCAGATGCGTCGACGGCTCACGTGGATATCCCAATTCGTCGGGGACGGAGTTACCGCGATGTTTGGGAGGAAAAGGATTTTCTTGTTCAACAAAAGCGCGACAACTCCGCGGGGGAAACTCATCAAGCCGTGAAGATGAAAATGAAGCGAAGAATTGCTGTCGATACGGAGAGTTCCTTGCTGGAATCCCATCGCGACTTGGTGTATGGATACGATGACGATCTCTTCCTCGAGTTTAAGAGTCGTCTTGAGGATCGAGTGAAGGCGTATCAGACGTTGTCACCAGCTGCACGACTGCAAGATGTTATTGACGATACTTCAGACTTGAGTGCTGATGAGGTTGTGTTTGATGAAGAAGTTCTCCCGAGTTTCCCAGTACATCAGTTGCATCCAGCGTCTCTAGGATTTTGGAAGCTCCGCAAGAATCAAGAACCTGATTTTGAAGTTGTGCACCCTGCATCTGTAAACCGTGATAAAGTTCCTACACGCTGGAGAGAGGAGAGGAAGCAGCATCGCCAACAACAGTACGAACTCCAACTACAGCACACAAATGAACTAGCTGATCCGAGTGATGGAGACGATGAAAGTACTGGCGACACGGCTCGTGATCGACTCCGTGCGACTATTTCTACCAGCGAGATTACTGATGAGCTACCGTCATTTGGCAACTGTGTGGAAGCAGATGAAATCTCACAAGCGCTGGCTGCTTCAATGCGAAAGCTGATTCCGCTGTCCATGTACAACTGGCGAACTGCGCAGCTCGTATACGAAAGAGCAGCGTGTAGTATCCAATGTGCACCGATCCTAGAGGGTGAAGCTGCCGCTGCTCGAGAGCTGGAGGATGTGTTTTTGGAGCTGTGCCCTCCCGAAGACTCCAATGTGGATATAACTGTACCTTCTGGTACTGGTCCAAGTCGTAAACCGTGGACACAGATCACTAGTGCCCCGCATGACATGATTGCCTATAGTGTACGCCACGATATCGCGGATAACTGTTCGTTGGCAGTAGCAGCTTCGGTGGAATTTGCCCTAGGACTGAGCATGGGCGACGTGGTGGACGTCCTTGACCGGAATGGTTGCTGGAATTACGGCGAAGTTGTGGAGATTTACTCGGAAAGCAGGCTGGGGGTTTCTAAGTTTTTGCTGGTGCGTTTTTCGCTGTGGTCTGAGGACACAGTCGAATGGATCGCGGCCAGCGAAGGCCGCATATTGCCTCAAGGTGTCGCTAACGGCACACGATCGTGTTCGGTTGGTCCCACCCGTGCCCACCGAGTCCGTGTCCGATATGACCAGAACCTTGCTAGACAATTAGAGCGGTCTTTCCCACAGCGACAAGCCAATCGAGCAACCGCTGCATCTCAAATGTTAGCACAACGTCAACATAATGCCGTCATACGATCCTCGAGTGATCAGCACAAGACACCGCAAAAGCGAAAACGGAAACGGCTAGGTAAATCTGCAGCAATGACAACATCTTAGCCATATGGTGACCAAGTTGTGCGGAAAACATGTAAGCTACGTATAAAAGACATGGTTTCCGAACGATACGATAATAACCCACGCTGTCTTTTGTTGATACAAGTTGAGGAAATGTGCCAAGAAACGAGAGGAAACCAATCGACGAAGGTCAGTCACAATAAACGTCTAATTTAGCGAGCTTGGTCTTGTATTTTTAGGTGGTGTGCAGCATTTGTCAAGGTCGTGGCAGGTGTGTTTTGTGCAGTACAGGAGCCATGTCTTCGCCTCTTCAACGCAACAACTTCCTCTGCCTACCCGATGGTCCTAAGTCGCCCCAACGCACCGCCTCTATGGCAGCAGGAGCCGCGGTCATGGGAGGTACTGGGAGTCCGGGAAAGTATCACACTGAATTCCCTGCTCGACAGCGCAAGCGCTTACAAGTGGGCACTACCAACTTGACCAAGTCGGTGGAGCTCAATAGTCTCCCCAGTCCTGCTGTACTTGCAGTAAACACATCCGATCGAATTGCAGAGACTAAGATTGCAGCGATGAAATCGACAGTAGACTCACCACAACATCACAGCGCAGCACACCGCCAATCGACTGACTCAGGCAAGATCACACCCCTCGTCCTGCGGACTGAGACTCGACGATTGAGAGCATTGAGCCCAGCCAACAGCAGTAGAAGCACTGACGAAAATCGAGACGTCAGCGTTGCCAACGGAACCCCAAAGCTGAAGCAGTTACCTGCTGACTTGAGCCAGCATGAAAAAGCAGAGCATCCAGGCCCCCTAGGAAACAATGCCCACGAAGACTCACTTGCAAAAAGCTCTGACCTTAACAGTTTCTTTAAGATGAACAGTGTCGATAGCAAGGAGAAGATATCGCTGGCTCAAAACCGTGCTAAGCTGTACGACGTATTCATGGAGAAGTACGGCTCGGTGCGTGCAGTCTTCCGAGCGTTCGATAACGACGGCAATGGCATGATTTCAGCCCAACGCTTCCATGATATGGTGGAGGCTGCAGAGGTGGACCTGACACCCAATGAGACTCGTGCGCTTTACCGAACAGCAGACGTCAACGGCGACAACACTGTGGCTTTTCAAGAGTTTGTCCAAATGTTTTCACCTAATGTCGGTACTGACATGTCAGGCAAAAGCGCCTTTAGTCCAATAATTGGACAAGTGCGAGACCCCAGCTCGTCAATGGCCATTAAGTATCACACTCCGTTGGAGTTGTCGCCACGTTCGCGAAGGCGTATGACGCAGCTTCGCAAGCAAGTGACTGACGCGCTTCATCGAAAACACGGACTGGCCATGGGTGTGCGTGGTGGCAGACCGGAGCAGCTTCTCGCGTACGCTTTCAAAAATGTCGATTCGGATAATGATGGACTTCTGTCCTACAGCCAGGTGGAACACGCTTTGGGATCTGGGTACTTGCAGTTGGAAGATACGATTGTTGTGAGTGAAATGCGTGAAATGCTGCAGCTAATGGACCAGAACGGCGACGAGCAGATCAGTCTACGGGAGTTTGTTCGATATTTTGCTGCCGGAGAGCGTGACGTAGCCACAGATATGATCGACAATGGACGCAAGAAGGAGCTCGCAGCTTTACACGTCAAGCGTACGGTGGATCTTACGCCTCGTGAAGAAGTTGACCCGATATTCGCTCATTTGAAGAACGCAGTGCTTCAGAAAGAGGAGCCTCCTTTGCCTCCTGACCGTAGAGATTCCAGTCCAGGAGCATGTCTTCCAGAGCAGCTAAGTAAGCGAACTGCTGCGATCATCAATGCTGATAACAACGTAACATCTTCTGCTCGCACGTCAAAAGGCGGTAATAGCAAAACCTCGCTGTCATCGTCACACTCATCTCTTCAACTCGAGATTGATCGTCGGCCAGCAACGTCGAGTGCGACTGGGAGTCCTATTGTGGCTGTATTGACACCAGTTTCTTGTGATCGCTTTTATCATCGACGTCGTGAGCGCACTGATTGGACTCGTGTTGGTGTGGGAGGAAATGGAACCGGCACCGACACAGGGATGTATATGTCTTCGAAAGATCGCTTTTCAACTACAAGTAGTGGAGCTTATAGTCCACTTTATCGTGCGCCGCCGTCTGCCAAGAACTGCGACGTGAATGACTCATTCCTCATTATGAGAGATGGCAAATCCACCGCTACAATTGAAGAAGATGCTCGCCGTGCACGACGCACGACACGATACGAGCGAACGCAAGTTCTACTGCAAGGCTTTGAGGAAGCACAAGCTCAAGATGAACGACTGAAGGACTGGAAGACGCGTGCAAGCATACGCAAAGTCGCCGGTGAAAGGTTTGACTATCTCGACAGACTGCAAGAACGGGAACATCGTGTAGCTTCGCGTGAAGACTGCATGCTGCGTCGCAATGGAGGGGCTAGCTTTTTGAGAATGTGGGCAGGAAGTGCCGAGTCACAGTTTAACAACCACCAACACGCCAGCTCCTAGCTCGTTACCTTAGCAAGTCTTACTGACTTCCGTGTTCTTGACAACTCCAATGCAACATAAGCGCTGTACAATCTAAAATGCAGTAGCTCGAGAAGCTGAGAAGAGAGGCGTTAGCCCGAGAATTTCTCCACAAGCTCTGAAGGGGAGTCGCGCGACTTGATGCGACGGACCCATTTTCCCGTAGCTTCATCCTGTGTGAACTCAGCTGTCCGGTAGTTGTACGGAAAGTTTTGACGCAAGAAGCGAGCGTCCTCGTAGATCTCGTGAATTTCTTCTCCTACTTGGAAGTTGGACAGAGCGGCCAGCTCGCTGAACAACAGGCAACATTAGCAAACCAGCAACCAAAGGAGAGAATAATAGTAGCGTGACGTACGTGAAATAATCCTTCTGGCGAGCTCCCAGTTGATGCAGCTTTCTCACTCCATCCTTAAGAGTGCCAAGATAAGCGAAGAAATCCGCGTACATGTCCTCCTTTGAAGGAAGGACTGCAGATCCACCAAAAACGCGTGCTATCCAACGAGCTTGGAGCTGGAAGCAGAGGAACGGCAGGTTGCTAAAAGGAAGTCCGACGAACGCAGCCGTGGGGTCTTCAATAGCAAACAATTGTTTGTAGACGGGGGCCACAGCAGTTCCGTTTGTCGTGCATTGCAGCAGGTCCGCAGCGATCTGATCGTTCAAGTCATTTGGCTGGGCGAAGGCATTGGGGAATAACAGTTCAGACGGGAAGAGGTCCTTGACCGTGTACAGATATCCGGTGCAGTGCATGATCTCGTCAGGTGAAGCAATGGTCGATCCATCCGTGAACACCACGGAACCATCTTCAGCGATACGATCAATCGCAGGCTTCAGTACACGCGGGTCTTCGGGGTCAATGACATTCGGATCGTAGTCAAGCGTTGCAACAACCACCTTTGCAGCTCCACTTCGGGCAAGTTCCAGAGAAATATCTTGACCTGATGGTCCACGGCCAATCACTACAACACGCTGCATCAAATTTTATGTTATCATTCTAGAAGAATACCTTACTAGATGCCTTACCTTGTCCTTGTACGAATCGGTTGTGCGGTATGATCGTGAATGTGACACAGTGTCCCCGTAGTGCTCAATACCTTTAATCGATGCGAGTGAAGGCTCGGAAAAGTGCCCGTTACAGACCACGACGCGGTCGAAGCCTTCCTCGTAGTCCCCCTTCTCCTTTGACGACACGCCAATCTTCCATTGACCGGAGACCTTTGACAGACTTGTCACTGCCGAGTTGAGACGCACAAACTTGTCCACCTCGTAGTGCTTCGAGTAGTTCTGCAAGTAGGTCAGTACGTCCGCGTGTGATGGAAAACTGGGCACTCCCTTCTGGAACGGGAACTCCTTGAGTTGCATGATGGCTGTCGGTAGGTTCGTGTGCAGTGACTTGTACAGCACCGACGACTGGGCATCCGCAGCCTCGTCATATTTCCACACACCGCCCAAATTTCCCGACTTCTCGAACACAACCACCTCGTGCCCCACGTCTCGCAGACACTTGGCCGTGACTGCAATAACATCCAGCAAGTTACACCGTTACATTCACATAATAGTAATTAACATATTTTACAATAAACCAGCGTACTGATGCCAGCCGCGCCTCCGCCGATGACTCCGACACGAACACTTTGCGCCTTGATTGCCATGATGCCAAACTGATTCTGAAGCAAGGACACTAGTGAAACGCCTTCACCCAATCACAAGTCTCTATTTTCGCCCACCACTGGCACTAAACCGGTATGCAACAGTAGTAAAGGTGTGTACCGGTACACTGTACTGTTAGGAAGCAGTTTAGTGCTTCCCAATCAAGTCAGAAAAATGCCAACAACAGGCAGCATGGGCCATGCCATGGCAGAAGACGACGATGTGCTGTCGGACCAGTCTCCGTTTCCACCGCTGCAATTAACGTTCGAGGAGCAGCAGCACTGCCATGACCTCAGCCTTCAATTGCTGGAGCGCACACTTCACAGTTACGACGAGCGGCTGGCAGGAAGAACGCCTACCCATCACGCGAACCTTGACAGCGCAAGATGGAAGCTACAGAAAACTCAGGAAAATGCATCGCTGTACTCTGAGCGTATTCGGCACATTCGAGGCGATCTGCATCTTCCTGAGGACTGTTGGGATGACCCCACTGTGCTCATGATGGTCGGGACTATCCCTGCTCCCCTTGACGAGGTCATGTTGGGCATCTCGATTCCCACTTTTGAATCATTCAAAGTCCGGGTGGCAACGCTAGGAAATATGGATACTGGCGGTGCAATGCTCGCAAGACTTGTGGGCTCGACGGAAGAGAAACCTTTCCAGAATTTATCCGTTTTGTACATGGTGAGTCAGCTACCGTGGCTCGTGAGTAAAGTGGTAAAACCTCGAGATTTCTTGCTGCTCTCAGCCTCAGGAATTATTAAAACTGCAGACGGGGAACGGATTGGCTACGATTTATTGCAACCAGCGCCATTGCCGCAATGTCCACCACAACCAAAGCCTATGATTCGTGGGAAATTCATATTAGGCGCGTTGTATCGTGAAAAGGACGATGGCACAGTGGACGTATATATACAACAGTATCTGGAAGCCATGGGCAACGTATTCGACTCGTTCGTGATCTCCTCCACGTGGCAAGGTCTTCTGGGTTTCTTTCAATCACCTGAGCTTGCTGAGCACAAGAAGTTACAGTGGTGCATTGCCAACATGAAGCAACGGGGTCTGGCGAACCAACTGACCGGACACTCAATGAGTTGTTCTTTGTGTTCCCTGGCTTTTGGGCGACATGTTCGTAGTCGCAGTATCGATCAGAAGAACTGCGTACTTTGTCTAGCACCCGTATGCTCGAATTGTCGCGAAGAGTATGTTTTGAGAGAGTTAGAACGTCACCCGAAGAAGCAAAAGTTACTGGTCAAGAAGCGTCATGTGTACGTCTGTCGACCCTGTCAGGAGTTCGTCGAGAGGCATAAAGCGACGGATATTGCGAGACACAACCTCCTGCAACAGCTGACTCCAGGTTCGGATTCCACTGGTGACACACAACACACGTGGGGTCTACTATACGGTGATTCCATGCCGTCCTGGTCACCAACGCGATCCTTGTCAATGTCAAGTGACTCGTTTGAGACGTTCGCCTGGAGCGTCGACCGTTGCTCGCTGGAGATATAAGCAACCTCTCACAGCAAGACAAATTTGCAACATCAAAACTAGAAAAAAAAAACGTCATCACTGACACTAATCTAATTGTTTAGGTACATTTTTCAAACATACTGTATCAGTCAAATAAGTTCAGAAGGTGTCCCGTTCGAAACAGTCAACCGCGCGATTACCACCCATGGCAGAGGACAACGATGTGTTACTATCGGACCAGTCTCCGTTTGCACCGCTGCAATTGACTTTCGAGGAGCAACAGCATTGCCACGACCTCAGTCTGCAATTGCTGGAGCGAACGCTACACAGCTACGACGAGCGGCTGGCTGGTATCACGCCTCGTCATCACTCGAAGCTTGATAGCGCACGCTGGAAACTGCAGAAAACGCAGGAGAATGCATCGCTGTACTCTGAGCGTATTCGTCACGTTCGAGCAGATTTGCATCTACCTGAGGACAGCTGGAGTGACCCTACGGTTCTTCTGATGGTTGGGAATATTCCTGCACCGCTGGACGAGGTCATGTTTGGCATGTCCATTCCTAGTTTTGAAGCGCTGAAAGTTCGAGTTTCGACACTTGGGAATCAAGAAATTGGCGGTGCGATGCTTGCGAGACTCGTAGGTCCGACCGACGAGAAGCCGTTCCAGAGTTTATCCATAATGTACATGGTAAGCCAATTACCGTGGCTAGTGAGTAAAGTGGTAAAGCCTCGAGACTTTGTGCTGCTCTCAGCAAGTGGAGTGGTAACTACAGCTGATGGAGAACGTATTGGATACGATTTATTGCAGCCGGCACCGTTGTTGCAGTGTCCACCACTGCCGAAGCCAATGATTCGCGGGAAATTTTTGTTTGGAGCTTTGTATCGGCAAAAGGAAGACGGGAGTGTGGACGTGTACATTCAACAGTACGTGGAGTCGCTAGGTAACCTCATGAAATCCTTCATAATTAGCTCAACGTGGCAGTCACTGCTGGGATTCTACAGATCACCTTTACTCGCTGAGCACAAGAAACTTCAGTGGTGTATTACCAACATGAAAAGTGCGCGACGACGGGAAATTGCGAACGACTTGTCGACGATCTCAGTGAATTGTTCCCTGTGTTCAGTGGTGCTTGGACAGACAGCTCGTAGTCGTAGCAATGACCAACGTACTTGCGTGCTTTGCTTAGCGGCGGCTTGCTCGAGTTGCCGTGAAGAACGAGTTTTTAGGGAGTTGGCGTCGCACCCCAAGAAGAAAAAGCTTTTTATCAAGAAGCGACAAGTTTTCGTGTGTCGACCGTGTCTGGAGCTTGTGCAAAGACACAAAGCAGCAGATATCGCGAGATCTTATTTCCAGGAACAACTAACACCAGCAGCTTCGGATTCTAGTGGAGCTGGCACATGGGGTCTGCTTTACAGCGATTCAATGCCTACGTGGTCGCCAACTCGATCGCTGTCGATGTCTAGTGAGTCATTTGAGTCATTTGATTGGGATAGAGATCCTTAGCTCAAGTCGTTAATTTGATAAACGAACCACGGCCTACATAGATCCACTTTGGTATCGTTTGAGTTGTATAATATTTGCAAATGTACAGGTGTAACCGTACGTGCTGTGTCTAGCTGAACACACTGACTACGTAGATCAGCAGCGGCGGACCCACTTGCTATTAACAGGATCTAGACTCAAGTTTGCCGAGCCAGAGTCGTGAGTGAAGCTCACGCCACCTGGTGCTTCCAGCATCACCGACAACTCCACCCAAAACTTGTGTGAACGAGCTCACAATTCCATTGCAGAGTCTCTCAGCACATGGTTGAACCTTCCTTCCGTGCACAGATCCAATAACAAACAAATCTCGTCTTGGAATTGCGATCCAGTAGAGTTTGTGCAGCACTAAAAACTCACTTCCGTCTTCCTCCACCACTTTCATCATTCCGAATGCTTTCAAGGTGGCGAGTTTGTAGTATAGTCTGTGGTTTTCGAATGCATACCCGCCTAACACAATGAGTTTACCGCGAATTCCCAGCGTCGTGTCCACACAACACGGCGTGACTAGAACCGCAAAGCAGCCATACTTTATTCGCATGTAGATAATTGCGCCGAGGGAACGGACACTCACGAGGACCAGTACACAGCCCAGCACGATAACACCATGTCCAACTAAGCTCCATACGTATGGAGAAACTATCCTTGCTTCTGAATCCGAGTGTTTAAACCCCTTCGAGCGGTTTAATGCAGTGAGATAATGTTACATTGCTGCAGCGCATGTACACTCACCGAGAAGCATAGTTTCGTAGTTGAACAAGAGTCTTTTAATGAGACTTCGCATCTTCTCGCCAAGCCAGTGCATGGTTTCAATCATTTCGTACAGCATCGACATGACTCCGGATAGGTTATAGCCTAGCGAAATGTACACCGACGGACAGAATGCAACTGCCACTTTCCCACTGGTACAAAAGCGGTCAGATGACCACAGCACTTTTTTTTACAGTAACGAATTACCAAGAGTTTTTGGCAAAGTTAGGGAGGCAGCTGTATTTAGCACTAAAAGTTGGTTTTGTACTTAGACTTAAAAAGTTTAGCGAAACTGTCCTGTACTTCTACCAATTTTCCTATAAATAAAATATCAAAATGATCAAATTAGATCAGTTCCATACAATTTATAAGTCAAAGCACTACCTTTAAACCGTGCGGTGTGCGCTGCACGAAGCCATGCCGATAGGCAAAACGTCGTAGCAACCTTTGTAGAGACTGATACGCAGTATATTCGCCCTTCTTGCCCTTCAAGAGCATGTCGTTTCTTCTTCATTGTATAATGCATCTGACGCTGTTTAGGCTCCGCGTATACCTCGTCAAGTAGGTCTGCAATCGCCACGATTTCTGGTGGTGACGGAGGCTCAGGTGGGGGCTCCGACCGGCGTTCGGACTCGAACTCCGAGGTGGTTTCAGCTACACGTACCGCCTCCATTTTACCAAGTGACTGGTGCAGAATAACCACTGCAGTTCAGCTGTACAATGTGGCGTTTTAGCTGTTTTGATTGGCTTATTTGGTAGATTTGCAAGTGGCAGCTATGACCTGCGCCCGTTTTACGTTGAATTTTAATGGCAGTTGCATTCTGTCCGTCGGTGTACTGCAAGCGTCCAATAATTCCTTCTTGTGCGATCAGTAGAAACAGGTCACCCATGAGTCCTTCCACTAGCAAATACAAAAGCGCCACACGTGTGATAATTTCTTGCGTCGTACGCAGACAGTCGCATGCTTTCTTGAGCGTACACCACTGCGTCATTCAAGCGAAGGCCTTCGCACATACGATCACACCGCTTTCCGTATCGTTTGCAGGATATATAACTTCTCCGTAGCATCAAGATGCGATAGGCTATCCACACCGACCCACTAAGACCATACCAGTAGGATTCTCGATTTTCGGTGCTGCCTCGATCACAATCCAGCCAAAAGCCGTTGCTGTCGTACGTTCCCAATCCCCCAACCAGCACGTACGCAGTTTTATCCTAAGGCCCGTTCCTAACAGGATCATCTTCGCCGCATGATCCCATCATCTGAAACTTGATTGGATAATAAAAATAAACATGTGATTTCCAAAATGCTCCGATGACCCCAAGTCGGGATCATGCCCTCATATGAGATCACAGCTCACACATCCGACAAATGAAAATATCAAGGCTTGTCGTATGCGCGGTCGCTCTTATTGCAGTTAATGAATATCGACGACGCCGAGCTCAAGTCGTTCCACGAAAGCGTCTTGACTGGGAAGCCCACCGCGATCGTTTGCTTCAAGAAGGGCAGTTCAGGCGCTACTATAGGATGGGAGTTGTGGCATTCGAGGAGCTGGTAGAGACTCTCAAGTCTATGCTTGAGTGCGACGGTGTTAAATCGAGAAACAGAACCGGTATCGCGCCCGTCACTCCTGTTAATAAAGTGCAGATGACCCTATCATGGCTAGCAGGGGGCTCATTCCATTCCATCCGGTCTCTTGCGGAAGTTAGTAAATCGGAGTTCTACTCAAGCGTCGTGGAGGTCATGGAGGCTATATGTGCCCACCCTCGGTATCAAATAACAGCCCCCGTCTACGATAATGAATCGATACTGCGTGCAGCTTCTCAGTTTGCAGATATCAGCAAGGACAACATATTGACTGGGTGCGTTGGTTGTGTGGACGGGTGGCTTTGCAGGATTAAAGCCCCGTGCGCTAGGGAGGTTCCCGATGTTTCTTCTTTTTTTCGGGACACTATTTGTGCTATGGCATTAATGTTCAAGCTATGTGTGATGCTGCTTGTCGGTTCACGGGTTATTGTTTCAATTCTCCTGGAAAAGTGGCTGACAGTGTTGCTTTTAAGAAGTGGCCCTTAAGTGCTACAATCGCTAAATTACCGTTTGGATATTACATAATTGGTGATAACGCATACACGTTGCACTCTACAGCACTAGTGCCATTCACAAAGCCTGAAATCAAGTCGAGAGCATATTCAGATTACAATTTTTATATTTCTCAGCTGCGCATTCGTATTGAGATGGCTTTTGGACTTCTCGTCAACAAATGGCAAATATTTAAGAGGCCATTAGCCGTTGATTTCATGCACACAGGGCTTGTTATAAAGACCTGTATGAAACTTTACAACTATTGTATCGATGAGCGTATTCAAGACCCGGATAGTGGAGGTTTTACAAGTGCAGCTGTGCGGGAATACAATACTTTAGAGGATTGTGGTTTTACGCCAACTGTAGAAGAAAGTCTAACAGAGGCCATTCAGAATGGCCACATACTCCGCAACGTAATCCTAGAGCATATTCAGACATACAACCTGTCAAGACCGGCATCTACCAGAAAATAATGTATTTCATTCTAGTTATCCATAATACGATCTTGAAGCTCTTCCGATTTCCTTTGAATGGATTGTAAACGCTGAAAAACAGCTTCTCTTTGCTGCATTATATCGGTTTTGTCCATTCCCTTCGTATTTCTTTCGTGTATTTGCATGTCCAACAGCGAGAGTGATTGTCGTTGGCGGATCAACATCCCATTCACAGCCGCGAGTTTTTCAACTACAACGTCTCTCTCCATCTTTTCCCGTTTTAAACGAGCTACCGCAAACTTTTCTGCAGTAAAGTCGGAATTTATACTTGTCATTTCTGCTTCGACCAATTTTGTTACTACTTTCGTCAGATCGACAACAGAATCGATGCTACTTCGCCGATCATCGTTTTTGTGGCGTTTTCGGTTGGTTGCTCGATTGTTTGTTATAGCAGCAGGCTGCGATTCGTTCGACTCATCATCTTCGTTTTCCTGGTAGACACTCGCCGCACAAAACTCGCGACCAGATCCACGTTGCTCGCACCAAAGGTGCACATACATAGCAACTTTATCCCCTTGACAGTAGTCCCAGAATTGTGAATGGGATCCAGAACGCTTGCACCTTTCTTCGACAGCAGCGAGCCGACTGCTGCATTCCTTCCAGATAGACTTCAACTTAGCGGCCGAGTGAACGACTACTTGAGCCGGATCGATGCCTTCAAAGATCGAGTCGTCGCTTACTAAGCGGTCAAATACAGCATTGCTTGTATTGAACGCTTCAGAAACAGAGTTCCAGAAGACCCGTCCACCTTCGTCTAACTCAGCCCGAGTTAGGACATTGCCAGATGTGATAAACCTGTCGAAACAAACCCTCCGAAAACAGAACGTTGAGCAACCGATACGGACAGTGTTTTGAGCGTCGCTCTGCATTAGTTTCGCTACTTGATCGACCGCGTTTGTCCAGCCGTTGGCTCTCGAGTAAAACCTCCATAGCCGACTTGGACCCGTCGTATCCCTTCAGTATAGTGACCCGATCAGCTTTGTTGGTGTTTTTGGCGACACAAAGCTTGCGTGCTGTACATTCGAGCTTCAGTTGATCCATTGTCCAGTCGGCGTAGACGTCCGACGTCGGTGCAGGGATAGTACGTTTCCGTCCCGCTTTTTGCTGCGCTGTCCACTTACTGCTAGCTACCACTTCATTGCGCGCGAAAGTCTCCATTCTTGGCTGGGAAATGCTAGATTACATCACTCTAATACGCTGGACCTGCGAGTGGTTTCACTTTGACCTTTCAGAGAGACCGTTTTCATGATCCTGTTAAGACTCGGATTGTGATCCCGTGTGTAATCCCTTACCCCTACCAGGAGCATTATACTAAATGATCCCGTTAGTAACCTGCCTTAGCGCAGTAGGTCCCTCGAGCTTCTTCGTAGAATGCAAAATACCCGATACTGCCATGATAAAAATAATGGGAAAACGGGAAGCTTTCATTCGCGCAGCTTGAAGGTGTAGTGCTCGATGCATTCGTGGTATTAAATCCCAGAAAGTAGTTGCCGTGAATATTGTACTCAGGGAACCCGAAAATGCAATACTTAGATTAATACATCGATGTGAGCTGAGAAAATTAATAATTCAATTATTTGCAAAACTTCGCAAGTCACGATTGTAGTTCAGAAACATTATCATCTCGAGCCTGGCTGGAGACATTCGCTTCCGTAGGTCAGACAGCACCAGCTTAAGAAGCGCTCACACTCGTTAGACGTTGGCGGGATGTACGCGACGTCGACGTAGTGCGCAATTGGGTTTCTTGAACGCCGCTCTCACAATAGAACGCTCTTCGGCGGCTCTTGAAGACGACCGTTCGAGATCAGGCGACCTAAATTCAGCGCAGGCTAATTTTTCCGCGACGTTCAGCGCGTCCCCACGCTGTAACTTGACTAGACCTTACTCAAAATTGGGGTTGTTCCCGTTGTTGACAGCCATAAATTAATAATAAAATTAAAAAATTCGGATTAATTTTTACGCATATTATTTTTTCGGGTTCCCTGATTGTACTGAGGGACAGTGAAGTGGCAAAGTTTACCGTCCTGAGCAGGGTAATAATGCGCTGGCACAACATTCCACCAGATACCAGCGATGAATAAACCTTCAACAGGACAGTGTTTTAATAGATCAGTCGTGTTCTGTACGTCGGTAAATGGAGGCAAGAGGCTTCGAGAGATCTTGTGCGGGGTCACAAAGCGAATATAGCTCCTCGCCTGGAGCAATAGCGGGGCCCCTCCAATACTCATCCACACCAAAAGAAGTAAACGCCGTGTCGAGATCGAAACTCCACCATGTGCACCCAGATGCGGTCCACTGAGCACTATGCTGCTATCATAACTCCGATTCGTCCGCATGCCACAAGCGCGCCAAGCTGCTTTAGCGAACGCAGACCAACCTCGGTGCAATTAGTAAAACCAACGCCAATCACTATGAATATCCTCTTCTCAAGTGTCAATCATGGACACTTTTAGCATCCCACGAGTTGCACTAATAGTCGCATTATGCGACTCTGTAAGATAGAAAGACTTCTCATTGTCGATGACTCATATTATACCTCAGCCAGCCTCTCTGGTCCTGTCGTCGACTGCGAAGACGCTTCGCTTCGTGGAGCTTCTACCAATAGAGTCGCTCTTGCACCAGCGACAATCAAAGTGGGTAGTCCTACTCGTCAAGTTAATAGTCCCAGGGAGCCATCACCGGTCAGAAATGGCATCTTGGAGTCAATTCAATGAAGAATTCCGCTAGTTTTGAAAAATAACAAACGAACTTAGTTTTTCCGATTCAGGTTCTCTCGACTTGTCGTCTCACAATTGTTTCTGGGTCGCTTAGTAAAATGCCAATTTTGCTGAAACAAGATAAATACAATTCCACTACACGGCTCATCGATGTTGCTTAAAAGAGAAAATGGTCAACCATCCTATGGGTGCTAGATAGCTTTCAATATCGGGGAAGATGTAGCTGGTAATGGTATGACTTGGACTTGGATTCTTCCCATTGGAACGAGCACAATTTACTTGTTCCAGCAGATGCAACGAAAGAGACTGACGCCCTTCGTGCAGAAGACCCCGCATAAGCTTTTACAAAAAATTCCACTATGGATAATGGACGATTGCGTCATTTCGGCATATTGTGTCACTTCAAAAAGTATTATTGGAAAAAAAAGTTATCTCCACGGCAAGGAAATAGCGAAGATGATATTTTCATCAGAGTATTGCTTATATCACGGTGCTACGTGAGGAAAGCAAAAGGCCACATTTCTTTCACATTTTTTATCTTCGCACAAAAGCAATGCAGGTGGACACGCTCTCATCTCAGGAAAGAAAAGGTCGTAAAAGGCTTTCTGCAACGAGAACATAGATCTTGGTATTGATGGCTATGGGATTGGGGGGGGGCTTAATTTCAAGTAAAAGCTGGCTCACTTGCGAGTAAAGAG